TCACATTGCCCAGGGGAGTGATCCTTATATGTATATTCTCATCCATACCTAGCACGAGGCATTTTGAAAGCTTACTGGCTTCGAGTTCAACGGAACTGTGACAGCCTGTCCCTGATTTTAAGAGTTTTAAAGTTTTAATAAAGGATTTTACAAAAATGCCCTTTGAGGCACGCACATTATTCAAGGTTAATCATTGTGTCGTGTCATCTAAGATTTGTTTTCTTGACATATCCTCGTAGTACTTGTCGCTACAGACACGTGGGTGCAAACGGTTCGTGATTTGGAGTTACGGTTAAAGTTTACGGAACTCTAACCTGAGGAGTACTTTTACTTGGTTAATATATATACATATATATATATATATGTGTGTTATTAATTTTTTTTAGTTGTTATTATTAGAAATGGGAAAAGAAAGAGGAAGGCATCGGGGAAGAAGAAAGGAAAAATGAGATTGGGCAAAACTGCCCAATCTGAAAGAAGAAGAAGAGGACGAATCAGGAGAAGAGAGAAGGAGAATCTGGCCAACCAGGAAAGAGGAAAGGAGGAAAGGAGGGAGAGAGAGACGCGGGGGATCGGCCGGATCCCCTTGGCCCGTTTTTGACCCGGTCGGCACCCATACCGATTTTCGGTGATTTTCACCCGTTTTTCCGGTGAATTGCTTCAAGAAACCTCATGGGAAACACTCTAGGAGCCTTTCTCTACCCATTCCATCTCAAAATTTGAGAGATTTGGCTTTGAAAATGGAGAAAACCGCAAGGAGGGGTGCGGCGGCTTTGGCTTCAAATCACCAAATCCCGAAGCAATTTCTTCCAATTGCCACCACCCATAGCTTCCTCTTGAGGCCTATAACAAAGCCCAATCATTAGTTGGAGCATCGAAGTTGATTTGAGGACGAATTGGAACTCACCCAATTCTAGGGTCCACACGGATTTTTGGTGAAATTGAAGTGTTTCCAGGCCAAATTGGCCTTGGCCTCAAGCGTCGATCGTCATGACGCCTTGATGTGTTATGCTAGGGAGTTGTTGGGCGAACTCTAGGTGAGTGGGCAGTATTTCTGTTTATACCTATATACTATTGATATTTTTTCCCAGAAATTGAGTTTAAATGAAAATACGTTTTAAAATGTCACGCATGCATATTATGAGATATATGAATTGATAATTGATGCATATATATATGTGAATTGTTGTTGTGGACGCACATGTGAGTATCAGGTGAGTTTTATGTTATTCATGTGAATCATTGATAATGTGAATTGTGTTGAGAGCTCATAACTTGCACCTCTGGTGTTAATGCTTATAGTATTCACCGCACCGCACGCTCACCTTGGATCCAAGTAGATGCATGTCGTATAGACCGATAGAGGGTTCCGACATGCTAGTCGTACAGACCACTAGAGGTGGTTCCGACTGGTAGGTGACCTTAGATTATATGCACATATGATTGATGAGAGAAACATTAGAGCATATTATTACATCATTCTTGTCGTACATACTATTTCAGGTAGTTCCGACTTATGTGCAAAGTAGCGTCGTACAGGTCACCGTGGTGACTCCGGTTGGATTGGATATTGAGCTATAGAATTAACCGTACAGGACTAACTGCAGGGTCTCCGGTTGATTCCTTATTTCACCTATTATATTGATGCATCCATATTCTGTTTTTGACATTATTGCATGGCATACTTTCTGGTTTTGATAAAGATTGATGATTTGAGATATTTGAAGGTATATGCTATTATGTTATTTTCTGGGAAAGTATACAGGTTTTACAGCGAGGGATTAGAAATGTTTTAAATGAAAAGTTTTCGAAAAATTTTGTTTTACTGACCCACTCAACTTTGTTTTGCGCCCCTCCAGGTTCAAGTTAGCAGAGCTTTGGTGGCCACGAGGAATCCAACGGTGTTCTGACATAATTCACAAAAGTAGGATTCACCCTCGGGTGTTACATCTTAGTAATTGTATCTTTAAAGCTTCCGAACTGTGTAAATGGTTACATCACACTCACGTGACCGCCAGCATGCCCTCCTTCGGGACGGGATGTGTTAGAACTCCGAAGTAAAGCGAGTTCGAGTAAGAGCAATTTCATGATGAGTGATACATTGGGAAGTTCTCGTCTGAGTTCCCAGAAACAAAACCGTGAGGGCGTGGTCGAGGCCCAAAGCGGATAATATCATGCTACGGCGAAGTCGAGCCCGGAATATGATGGGGACCCGGACCAGGATGTGACAAATAACGTGTCTAAATTCGCCTTTAGTAAAAATACCACTATGCCGTGGTAAAAATTGATAGTACCAAAAAGTTAATTGAATTGACATGTAAGTATATTATTAAAAAATAATAAATTGTATGTACCAAAACAGTTCGAGAGTATTAAAAAACTCATAAAATTTATGAATTTTCAAACTATATTTTAAAAGGAAAACTAATGAAAAATGTTTGAAAATTTTGAGTTTTAATGATAATGATAAAATAAAGGGTAAAATGAATAGTACCATGATTGACTTTTTAGTGTAAAAATATGATTTTTTATTAAAGTGAACATTACCGAATGCTTTTCGTTAAAGTTCCTTATTTTAAAATCTTCGAGACTATCTCGGTTCAGAAAATTCTTAAAATTTTCAATTTAAAAAATTGCGATTCGATTTGAATTAATTTCGAAATATCAAAATAAAAGTTAAAAATATTCCTACCCAAAGTTCCCGTTCAAAAAAAAAGGGCACGACCCAAAGGTCAAGAGCATGCTTACTAGAAAATGTAATCAAGGGACGAGCGGCGAAATAATCGGGGGACACGTGGCCCCGCCGCCCAGCGCTTTCACCCCGCCGAGTCAAGTCAACATTTGAAAAACAAAAAAGCTTTGCAACCGCGCTGAGTTACTCTTCATTCTCTGAGAAATTCGGAGTCCATTTTCTTCTCAATCTTTCAACTTCCCATCCATCGGAAGATTGAAATCCATGGCGATGGAAGTTGTGGGCGGCGCTCTTCTCTCTTTTTTTCTCTCCGTCTTGTTTGATAGGCTGGCCTCCCGTCCCGTCGTCGACTTCATCCGCGGACAGAAGATCACCAGCGGACTGCTCAAGAAGTTGAGGATTAAGCTGCTTTCAGTTAATTCTGTGCTCGATGACGCGGAGGAGAAGCAATTCAACAACCCAGCTGTGAGGGAGTGGCTCGACGAACTTAAAGATGCTCTGTATGCTGCAGACGACCTGCTGGATGTGATCAAGACTGAAGCTCTGCGGCGAAAGCTCGAAGGCGATGAATCCGAAAGCAGCAGCAGCAGAAAAAGTCAGGTACCCATCTCCAGTTCCACTTGGATTGATGAATTTGACAAAACAATGGAACCCAAGATTGTAGAAATGCTTGAGAGGTTAGAATTTATTGTAAATGAGAAAGATGTGCTTGGTTTGAACGAGGGTGTTCCGAATCGGCGACCACAATCAAGATTATCTGCCACCTCTTTGGTGGAAGAGGACGGTGTGTACGGTAGGGATGAGGACAAGGAGACCACTGTGAAGCTATTGCTATCTGATGATGCGAATGGCAATAAGTTGAGTGTGATTCCGGTTGTGGGAATGGGTGGCATCGGAAAGACCACCCTTGCGCAGCTCGTATACAACGATGCTAGAGTGAAGCAACATTTTGACTTGCAAGCATGGGTTTATGTTTCAGAAGAATTTGATGTTGTTAGAATAACCCAAATCATTTATGGTTCAGTCATTTCACAAACTTGTAGTATTACGGACTTGAATCTACTTCAAGTTAAAACTCAAGGAGGCTTTGACGGGAAAGAAATGTTTCTTTGTTCATGATGATGTATGGAACGAGAATTATATTCACTGGGATGCATTGCGGTGTTCTTTTGAGTCTGTCGCACACGGAAGTAAGATCATTGTGACTACACGTAACCAACGTGTTGCATCAATGATGGGTACTGTCACAACTTACCATCTAAACCACATATCTGACGAAGATTGCGGGTTGTTATTTTCCAAGCATGCCTTCGGCAGGATAAACTCAGCTGTGCATCCAACTCTAGAAGAAATCAGTAGCGGAATAATTAAGAAGTGTAAAGGTCTTCCTTTAGCTGCAAAGTCTCTTGGGGGTTTGTTGCGCTGTAAACAAAGTTACGAGGAGTGGGATGAAATATTGAAGAGTGAAATATGGGACTTGCAAGATGAGTATACCATTCTTCCAGCTTTGAGATTAAGTTATCATCATCTTCCTTCTCATCTAAAACGATGTTTTTCCTATTGTTCGATTTTCCCCAAAGGATACAAATTTGGAAAATCAGAATTAGTTTTGTTGTGGATGGCTGAAGGTTTTTTGTCACCCCAAAGAAAGAAAATGATGGAAGACGTTGGAGTGGAGTACTTTGATGATTTAATATCGAGGTCATTTTTTCAGCATTCAGGTGATGACCAATCACTTTTTACCATGCACGACCTTATCAACGATTTAGCAAAGTTTGTATCAAGAGAATTTTGTTTTAGGTTGGATGATAGCGACTCATTCAATAATGTTTCAAGCAAGACTCGTCATTTCTCATACACTCAGAATAGCCCCTTTCTCGAAGGACTTGGTGTAGGTGTTCATGCGACTGCAAAGGAGGAGATTTCTGGTTTTGATAAATTTGAAGCTTTATGCGAAGCCAAGTATTTGCGCACCTTCCTAGCAATAAAACCTGGACCATTATGGAATATTTTCAGTTTCAACAAGGTACCTCATGATCTCTTATGAACACTGTATTGTTTGAGAGTGCTCTCTTTATCTCATTGTAACAACAAGGAGTTGCCTTATTGGATTGGCAATTTGAAACACCTAAGGTATATAGACTTGTCATACAGTAGATTTGAAAAGTTACCTGAAACGATATGTACTTTGCATAATCTACAAACGTTGCTCTTGTTCAATTGTTATGAACTTGCTCAGTTGCCGATCAACTTGGGGAGACTCATCAACTTGCGCCATCTTGATGTTAGAAGCACTAATCTAAAAGAGATGCCACCACATATGGATAAGTTGAAGGATCTCCACACATTGAGTGACTTTGTTGTTGGCAAACAAACTGCACCTAGCATTGTAGTGTTGAAAGAGCTTCAGATAGTAGGTACACTTGCTATTTCAGGGCTTCATAATATAGTGAATTCTGAGGATGCTTTTGTTGCCAATATGAGAAATAAGCACCTTGACGGACTAGCTTTGACATGGGGAGCTGAGACCGATGATTCACAAAAAGATAGAGAGGTGCTTAATAATCTCCAGCCTCATACACACCTGAAAGCCCTCAGTCTTAAGTTTTTATGGGGGTACAAGATTTCCGGATTGGTTAGGAGATCATTCTTTTTCTAATTTGGTTTCTCTTCAACTCGAAGATTGTAAACATTGTTGCGCCTTGCCACCACTGGGGCAGCTACCCTCCCTCGTCACGCTTTATGTTTGTGGGTTAAATGAAGTGGAGACGATAGGGCCTGAGTTTTATGGTAATGGTGTTTCTGTTGTTATGCCATTTAGATCTCTATCAGTTTTATTCTTCAAAGATATGTTGGGATGGCAAGAGTGGTCTCATTTCGGAAGTAGCCAAGAAGGTGGAGCTTTTCCTCATCTTTGTCAGCTCTATCTGACAAATTGTCCCAAGCTAACACAGAAATTACCTGAGTATCTTCCATCCTTGACTACACTTGAGATAAGGAGATGCGAGCAACTTCTGGGTTCACTTCCAAGAACTCGGGCCATTTTGGAGATTCCTTCTGTGAAAGACAACCTTTGTCTTGAAGAGAAAACTAGCGGTACTAACTCATCTCTTACTCCATTTCCTTGTGACGGTCTGGCTGATGCTTTAAGAGTTCTTAAAATAAAAAACTGTTGGAACTTATCTCCACTAAATTACTGCTATGCATTCCTTAAAACATTGAAGATAAAGAGTAGCTGTGATTCAACCACATCTATCCCGCTGGACTACTTCCCAAATGTTAAAGAGCTCAAATTATATGACTGTAGGAATCTGGAATCCCTTACTTATTCCCAGGATTCTGAAAGCCCTACAATCCTGTCCCTCAGTTCCTTGAGAATATTTAATTGCCCAAATTTTATATCTTTTCCTGATGGAGGACTGTACGCCCCCAACTTGATAGTGCTTAATATATCTGAATGTGATAAATTGAGGTCATTGCCAGAACATATGTGCACCAGTCTCTCATCTCTTCAGGCTGTAATCCTAGAGTATTGTTCTGAACTAGAGTCATTTCCTGAAGGGGGACTGCCTTCAAATTTGGATATGCTGCGTATCTTTGGATCCAAAAAACTCATTGCCAACCGCATGCACTGGGGTCTGGATAGGCTCATCTGTCTCAGATACTTGGCCTTCAGCTTTGACGAATGTGAAGACGTTGTATCATTTCCAGAGGAGGGGCTTCTGCCTACCATTTTGACTACTCTCTGCATCTTCAATAGTCCAAATCTTAAGATCCTGGACTCTAAGGGTTTTCAAAACCTCACCGCTCTTCAACATTTGTTCATTGATGGGTGTAATGAGCTTGAATGCTTGCCAGAAGGCCTTCCCACTTCTCTTTCTCATTTGGATATCAATAAATGTCCTTTGCTGACACAAAGGTGCCAGAATGAGATAGGGGAAGATTGGCCAAAGATTTCTCACATCACTCGTGTAACCGTTGATGGGCTCGATTTCATAAACTGATTGACTCTCTCTCAGGTACTTCTTGCACTAATATGATTTTTGAAGTTTATGAATGGTTCAATATTAGTAGGGAATCTGAAAAAAATTAGTTCCGGTCACTTATTCACTTTCAACTATTTATGCAATCTATAACTACCTGATGTTAATTTCTAGTGGATTTAACTTCATCTTTCAGTCCATTAATGCTATGTTCCTGTCCTGTCAACTACTTCCTCATTTTTAGTTGTGAGTTGTTCCTTCGCATATTAATTTGTCACTTGTTTATGTTCCTTTACGTATCAATCCAAATTTAAAATTATTTATTTTGTTGCTTTGCTTGAAAACTCCGCCTATGTCTTACATGGCCGGTCCCAAGCCCGGATAAAGGAGGAGGGGGAGGGCGTCAGGTAGTCGACAGCCGGCACTCCATGATCACGTCGAATCCTTATGAAAATGAATCCAGAACAAAATCGCGCTAAAGCTAGGGCGTCACCCGTAAGTGGCGCGCTGTGTGGCCCGAGCACAGTGATAAGTGAGCAAGGGTCGCTGTATCTCCATCGGCACCCGGATGCAGTGTTAAATGAGCAAGGGGACCATAGAAACTTCTTTTCGAACGACTCCACTCAAAGTTGTTTGGGAGCATATGCTCCTATCAACTTTACCCGGGACACACAAAAGAAGTACTTTGATCCTATTAGACGGGGGAGGGTGAAGAAGCTAGGACAGAAGGGTAGAGTTCAAGAGAGCAAAATGCGTTTAGGAACGTGGAATATAGGAACCTTAACGGGAAAATCTATGGAAGTAGTGGAAGTTATGGTGAGGAGAAGGATAAATATTATGTGCCTACAAGAAACTAAGTGGGTTGGTAGTAAGGCAAAGGATCTAGAAAACTCAGGGTTTAAACTTTGGTATTCGGGCACAAATAGAACGAGAAACGGTGTTGGCATCATCGTGGACAAGACCTTGGTACAAGATGTTGTAGATGTCAAGAGGGTAGGAGATAGAATCATGGCAATCAAGATTGTAATAGGACAAGAACTTATCAATGTGATTAGTGCGTACGCACCTCAAGTAGGGTTGGATACGAGTTCGAAGGAGAAATTTTGGGAAGATCTTGGAGACTTGGTGCAAGGAATTGCTCAGACGGAGAAGTTATTTATAGGAGGAGATTTAAATGGACACGTGGGCAGGGAGACAGGCAACTATGGAGGTTTTCATGGTGGCCATGGTTTTGGGGAGAGAAACGAGGATGGGGAAGCTATCTTGGATTTTTGCAATGGCATATGATCTCTTCTTAGCCAACACCTTCTTTAAGAAGAGAGAAGAACATGTGATCACCTACAAGAGTGGGTCGTCAAAAACACAAATAGATTTTCTTCTAATGAGGAAAGGGGATCGTATAACTTGTAAGGATTGCAAAGTTATACCAGGAGAGAGCGTGGCTAATCAACATCGCTTGTTGGTGATGGATGTACATATCAAAAGAGTAAGACAAAAGAACAAGACTTGGAAGTGCCCAAGGACTAGATGGTGGAATCTAAAAGAAGAAAAAACAAGCCATTTTCAAAGAGAAGGTAATCACCCAATGTGTGTGGGATAGAGAGGGGGAAGCTAGCCAAATGTGGGATTCCATGGCTAGTTGTATCCGAAAAGTAGCAAAAGAGGTATTAGGAGAGTCCAAGGGCTTTGCCCCACACCAAAAGGAATCTTGGTGGTGGAATGAGGAGGTACAAACAAAGGTGAAGGCTAAGAAGGAATGTTGTAAAGCCTTATACAAGGAGAGGACCGATGAAAATGGTGAAAGGTATAGAAAAGCGAAGCAAGAGGCGAAGAAAGCTGTCAGAGAAGCTAAGTTAGCGGCTTACGACGATATGTATAAACGACTAGATACCAAAGAAGGAGAGTTGGATATCTATAAACTATCTAGAGCAAGGGAAAAGAAGACAAGGGACCTAAACCAAGTGAGGTGCATCAAGGATGAGGATGGAAAGGTTCTTGCTACAGAGAACGCGGTTAAAGACAGATGGAGAGGTTATTTTCATAATCTTTTCAATGAAGGACATGAAATGAGTGCTTCTTTAGGGGAGTTGAGTAACTCAGAAGAGTGTAGAAACTACTCTTTTTATCGTCGAATCCGGAAGGAAGAAGTGGTTGTAGCTTTGAAGAAGATGAAGCATAAAAAAGCAATAGGCCCAGACGATATACCAATCGAAGTGTGGAAACTTTTGGGAGAGACAGGTATAACATGGCTCACTGACCTTTTCAATAGGATTTTGAAAACGAAGAAGATGCCAAATGAGTGGCGAACGAGCACTTTGGTGCCTATCTACAAGAATAAGGGCGACGTACAAAATTGCATGAACTATAGGGGTATTAAGCTAATGAGTCATACAATGAAGCTCTGGGAGAGAGTCATTGAGCATAGATTGAGGCAAGAGACACGGGTTTCGGACAACCAATTCGGGTTCATGCCAGGGCGCTCAACCATGGAGGCAATCTATCTCTTACGAAGATTGATGGAAAGATATAGAGATGGGAAAAAGGATTTACACATGGTCTTTATAGATTTGGAAAAAGCGTATGATAGGGTCCCAAGAGACATTCTTTGGAGGATTTTAGAGAAGAAAGGAGTACGAGTAGCATATATCCAAGCTATAAAGGATATGTATGAAGGAGCAAAGACTGCCGTAAGAACTCATGAAGGACAAACCGAAAGCTTTCCCATAACTGTAGGATTACATCAAGGCTCATCCTTAAGTCCTTACCTTTTTGCGTTGGTAATGGATGAGTTAACAGGACATATTCAAGATGATATTCCTTGGTGTATGCTTTTCGCAGACGATATAGTGTTGATAGATGAAACTCAGGAAGGGGTAAATGCAAAGCTTAACCTTTGGAGAGAAGTGTTGGAATCTAAAGGTCTTCGCCTAAGCCGATCAAAGACAGAATATATGGAGTGCAAGTTCAGTGCAAATGGAGGCCAAAACGAGTTAGGGGTGAGGATCGGAGATCAAGAAATACCAAAGAGCGACCGTTTTCGTTACCTAGGATCTATCTTGCAAAAGAACGGAGAATTAGATGGAGATCTCAACCATAGAATACAAGCTGGATGGATGAAGTGGAAGAGTGCATCCGGCGTGTTGTGTGACCGCCGTATGCCACTGAAGCTCAAGGGAAAATTTTATAGGACGGCAATAAGGCCGGCGATGCTGTATGGCACAGAATGTTGGGCGGTGAAACATCAACACGTACACAAAATGGGTGTAGCGGAGATGAGGATGCTTCGTTGGATGTGTGGGCACACGAGAAAGGATAAGATTAGGAATGAGGATATCCGGGGTAAAGTAGGAGTAGCCGAAATTGAAGGAAAGATGAGAGAAAATCGGTTACGGTGGTTTGGACATGTGCAAAGAAGGCCTACTGACGCTCCGATTAGAAGATGCGACTATGGGACAGAGGTTCAGGGCCGAAGGGGTAGAGGAAGACCTAGGAAAACTTTGGAAGAGACTCTAAGAAAAGACTTAGAGTACTTGGATCTAACGAAGGACATGACACAGGATCGAGCACAATGGCGTTCTAAGATTCATATAGCCGATCCCACTCAGTGACTTGGATTTTCCAAGTCTCCAACCGAGAAGTTTTCCTCACTCGGGAAATTAAGGGAACACTACCCCAACCTACATGCTCCACTCAGAAAGCTTCAACATACAAGCTTCAACAAAAGAAAATTCAAAGAACTTAGCGAAGAAGGCTTTGGTGTATTTAACACAATACGTTGAAATGAAGGAAAGCTTATTTATTGATATCCCCGATAAGCTACAAATATGTACATATACATGAGTCAAAATAAACACACAAGAGGGAGCCTTCACAAAGGTTGCTTAGGAGAAGTCTCAGCAGTCGGTAGAGCCCCAGAAAGAGAAGGCACCGGAGGGGGATCATTTGGAGCCTCAGTACTGGACAGAACCCTAGAAGGAGGAGGCATCAGAGGTTGATCATTTGGAGCTTCATTACGCGGTACAGCCCCAGAAGACGAAGGCAATAAATGCCTTTGGAACAAACCCACAAATCTCTGATGATCAAGTAAAACCTGACCATCAGTTTCCTTCATCTGGTCAAGCTTCCTCTTCATGTTTGTAGCATAGTCATGTGCGAGCCGGTGCAACTGTTTATTCTCATGCTTGAGCCCTCTAATCTCCTGTTTGAGACTCATCACTTCAGCCGCCAATGATTCAACTTGGCGGGTTCGAGCAAATAGGCGTTGGGCCATATTAGACACAGAACCTGCACACTGAACACTGAGAGCCAGCGAATCCTTAACAGCTAACTCATCAGACCGTTTGGAAAGTAGTCTGTTATCTTTGGGAGTGAGAAGGTTCCTGGCCACCACCGCAGCGGTCATATCATTCTTCATCACGGAATCCCCAACGGTAAGAGGACCAGTAGGGGAGACGAAGGATGGGCGCCATATGTTGTCTGGAGAAGGCGGGGCTGCCTCTTCAACAAGGTTCAAGTCAAAACGACGGTCGGAGGGGCCAGACATTTTCAAAGGTGTTGAAGAGAGAAGAGGTCGGACAAATCAAGATCTTAGAAGTGCAAGAATGAAGCTTCTACTGGTGGAGATTCAAGTGTGCTTTGGAACTTAATGCCAGCCCCTATAAAAAATCTGCACTCGACGGAGCTTCAGAAATCGAAGAGGCGCCTGCTCAGAAATCGAAGAGGCGTTTGCTTTCTCAAAAGCTGGGCTGCTTAGAGATCACGAGGGTTGATCTCAGAAATCGAAGAGGCGTTTGCTTTCTCAAAAGTTGGGCTGCTCAAAGACCACGAAGGCCGATCTCAGAAATCGAAGAGGCGCTCGCTTTCTCAAAAGCTGGGCTCCCCAGAGACCACGAGGGCCGATCTCAGAAATCGAAGAGGCACCTACTTTTCCAGCCTTGTCAGCACCTGTCACACGCACACTCAGCTTTGCGGAAATTATGGGCATTCTGTCGAAGACTTCTGGGGAAGTAGAAAACACATGA